AGAAAAAAAAAAAAAATTATCAATACTGAGGAAATCTTATTATATTCAACCCTATTTTTAAACAGCTAGGACCAAAATCTTCATTCAGACACACTGGTGCCACCCCATTAAATTCCAGCAGTGGCACCACTGGTAGAGAAAGAATGCCACTCAGATTTTTCACCATTAAGTAATCTGTTTTCATTACCTTCTCAGCAGTTTGTTTCATTTGCCTGCAGTAGGGAAACTAAAATTAGAAAGCATTCCATGTTCATAGTTAGTTTGCTTCCAATGTGAAAAAAACAAGCCTATAAATTTGTCTATTGGGTTATGCCTTGTGCAGTTCTACTAAAAAAGTTGTCTTTACATTATACTGATGAACTGTAAATGGTGTAGTGCATTATTTTGTCCAAAGTAATTCAAATTAATGACCTAGAAATATTATTTGAGGTGTCTAAGTTATAAAGCATTGACAATAGTCATGAATATTACCAGCAGAATTTCTATTTTCCTTTGTAATATATGCATTGCTATGCTTTAATAAACTATTTTCTGATCATCTTCAGAACTTGCTGTTTCTTGCACGAGTTCTACATGCCAGTCTTGTATCAGCTGTAGTAGCAAATGAATGTCAGGTAAATGCTGATAGTAAACTATCAAAAGTTTGAGTGCATTGTTCTTGCCTTAACTTGTGTGCTTAAGTTCTCATTTCACATTACCTAAAGTAATACTGACTCTGACTGAAAAGAAAATAGAAAAATAATTGAGCAAGTCAAAGTGTGGTGATCTCATAGGCTTTCATAGGTAACTGTGAGAATAACATTAGCTTAGATTAGCTTAAAAAAGGAGAAAAAATGTAGAATACTTTTCAGGTTTAGATAAATGTTACTCTGGATGCTAAAAATAGATTTGCTTCTCAAGCATGGAAGGGATGTGTATTTTCTTGGACTGTACTGGCTCATGTCATTCTTACTAAGAAAGCGTTAAGCCCTACCAACTACAGATAATAATATTCTGAAATTATTAAAAAAACCCCAAAGTTCATCCAAGCCGGATGGCACCAGAACTAACCCATTTGGGAAACATGCCATCATAGTGGTATCCAGAGACATTCTTAAGAAGCTTAGAGATCAGAGGAGGAGATGAAACGATTAGAGCTTCATAGGAACTTCTCACGACTAAATACTGATGCCAAGACCACTTCTAAGGAAAAGTGGATGGATCGTGAAATCATGAAAGCACGAAGTCAACTAACTTCTGGATTTCAAAAGAGAGGTCTGAAGAGTAAGCTTTTGTATGAAGTAATAAAAAAACCTACTGTGGCTATGTTGAAAGTGAACACCTACTTTCTGGAGTTCTTACAGACCTGCTGCGCTTCACTTTCTCCTGGAGAAAGGGTTTTCTAGCTGACGCAGTTGCTTTCATAGTAAGGCTGGCCAATGAGTAGGAACAATAGTGCACTTGCTCATCTCTAATCTTTTTCAATAACTCATTTTCTGTTCTAAATACCTATTATTCCTATTATAGTTCCTGTAATAACTTTTCAGCCTTTCTTTCTGACAAAGAATTACAGTCCAATCAGCATTAAACATACATTTGCTTTGTTTTAAAGGTCATTCAATAGTCACAGATCAAACTACCTTTACAGGTAAATCAGAGCTTGAAAACAGATCTGAAACATATTTCCTCAGATGACATTTGGCTAGAAATCCTACACAAAATTTAAATTATTCTTTTAATATCACACACACTCTTCTAATTTCTTAAAGGCAGTTAGGTATTTTATAATCATGAGGAACTTTCCTTACTGCAGGCAAATAACGTAAATCTTACTTACTGGCTGTATTAAAGATACAACCAAAGGAAATACATTACAACACACTGCATGGAGTATGTGCTTATGTGCCAAAACTATGGAAATCTGCAATTCTTTCTATCCTAGGTGGGCAGAATTAATTTCAGATTCGATCACCCTGCTGCGTATCAGGATCACTGATAAGGAGGCGCAGAATAACTGCATTAACAGAAATCTGACAGTGGCAGGCACAATGCTGTATTGTAAAAATAACTGACAAATCTTCTGTACGTGGTTCATTAACAAGACATGCAGGCAAGGTCTACACTGATCATTCAAAAAAAAAAAACCTGCCACAAACTGGAAGGTAGCAGCTGTATCCATCTTAGTCGAAACAACAGACAGCAGAATATCGGTCTGTTTCAGATAACACATGACATCTGCTCAAGCAAGATTACGTGCCATGGTGTTAATGAAGGACCTCAGTTTTCCTATTAATGATGGGATCTAGCTGTTTCATAGAAGTTAATAGCCAAAGATGAAGATTAGAAGCTGGAATCCTAAAAATCCAAACTGCATTTTTTTCTTCATGCTGTCTTCAGAGAATACCATCTTTGACTTCATGAAGAAGAAAGAGGTAGAAGATGGCTTTAAAGAAGCTTTAAAGAAGATGGGTGAATATTTTAATACACATAGAATATTACTACGCTGTGAAAATGGTTCTCTTTCAGAAACAGTACACTACAAAAATGCAAAGAAATGTACTAGATACTGATAAACCACTACCAAGCAGTTATAAACTAGGGCCAAGCACATGCTCTGGTTTTACATGGAATAAATGATTCCTCTGTCCCTAAGGAAAACTCACAGTGGAAAAAGGTAAGCAGGAATTTAAGGTTTTGCAGGTCTGGAATTTGAAGAATAAAAACAACATATGAAATAACACAAAAAAGGAACCAGGAACTAACAAAGTGCATTTGCATGTTTAAAAAACAAAATAAAACAAAACAAAAAAACAAACAAACAAACAAAAACACCACAAAAAAACAAACCCATAAAAAAAAACCCAAACTGCTGAGGAAATAATAACAGATCACAAAAGTGAATTACTCGGATAGATCTATCAACCCGTAAGTTAATTGTAAAATATCAAAAACTATGGGACTTTTCTTTTAGGGATTTGAAGAACATTGTCATAGTACCGATAAAGTTGGTGAATTTCAGTGCTTCTGTGCCCCGAAGCTGAAGATTTAAGCAAGGGCTTAATTTCTGCCCATAGACTAATTTAAGACAGACTTACAGTATGTAGCGTGACCTAAAGTCTCTATCAGTGTAACTGTTCAACAACAAGAAAAACATCTGCAGTGAGAAATTAGTCCCATGGAACCAAAAAATAGCATAGTATATTTGTATGAAAATAATGTGTTACTGGTTGAGCTGCTAAGTCACACAAAACGTGCAGCATTCTTCATTTGACTAAGTTTGGCAGGTAATGGTGAGTATTGCCTGTTATCATTTAAAATAGGACAGAAGCATAACCTCCCCCCAAAAAAGGCGCAAGTGCCCCCCCCCCGGATAACGGCCTTTAAAGTGAAATATGATGGGTTTAACTTAAAAGACTTAAAGTTCTGTGTATTTTCAGCAGCAAGTATGCTGCTATGAGGAAAGAGAAAGTAACATTGCACGAATTGTGTTTTTGTTTTCTAGTTAATCCATATTTAAAGATTTAAATAGCTTAAGCACTTGTCAAACATATTTTGAAATACATCTATTTTATCCTAAGTGCCTTTATTAACAAAAACATAAGCCTATACCCTCTTCAGCTGTGACGAAACAGAACAACTTTGTCTCACCTTACTTCCTGGATATTGGTCTTTCTTAATGTCCAGAGAAACGATCTGCATTTGAAGACCAGGGTAGTACCAGTAAAACCCAAAGCAATTACCAACTAGGAAGTTATAAGAACATTTCCCATTTTTGCATGACATACTTTTAAAACTGAAGAATGAAAAGTGCTGCAGCAGAATGTTCTACTTCCTGAAAACACTTGTATTCAGACAGCAACCACAGTCCCCAAAGACCCTTACAGACTTCACCCACCACTGTAAACATCATCTCTGTCATAAGACTCATTTTCATCTTCAGACTGCATGAGAGCCTCTCAAACAAGCAAGTGAAAACTGGAAGTAAATCCACCATTTTGGTATATAATGAAGATAACCAGAACTGCTACCAAATAAACCACATCCAATTGAGCTGTAAGATTTCTCTATATAAAATATGAAGTCTTTGCAAATATTTATTTTGCAGTCAATTACCATTGAATAGTTTTTCTTCTCCAATAAAAGTTCTTGTTACTGTTTCTTTGAATATACCCTTATAACAGCAGCTATAGTTATCTACATTCTGAGAGTCCACTTTAAGTGGACTGAAATGTACGACGATAGGAACAGCTGTACTCCATCAGATAGTCCAGAACTATATCCCGTACCCAAGGAAATACTAGATGTTCACAGGAAAGCACATAGAACTTACCATGTTACAGACTTGCAAAGGTATTTTCTTTTTGTCTTCTCATAGCAAGACTCAGTCAAGTGCCAAAGTATGTGAATTTGCCCTCGATGAAAGACATTTTTGTTCTTACATGAGAATCTAATTATTTCTTGCATCCTGTACCCTGTTCGGCTTACTGTGTGCTTCCCTTCCTTAAAGGTGTGATCCACAGGAAATCCTGAATATGTTCCTAGAATTTTATTCTTTAAACATTGAAGATTGTCTTCTTGTTTATTAACAAACTGCTTGGGGGGAGAGGGGGGGAACTTTTGGCCAAGAGCTTGGCCTTTTTTTTTTTTTTTCTTTCCCCCTTTTATACAGCAACATCTGTCACATCCCTGCTGGACGATGACTTGTTAGCATTGACTTGTCTGCTACCAAAACTTCTTAGAAGTGGCAAGCAGAAAAATTCAGGTGCAATTAAAAAATAAAATATATATACACACATATAAATATGTGCTTCTAAGTTCTTGCAGTTTGGTATACCGCATGAACATGCAACTTTTTCTTTAAAGTCAAGAGACTGAGTGTAAAGCCCATCAAGACAACTTCGCTTTCTTGCTGAGAAAACATGACTTGGCTTTTGCTCACTATTTGGCTGATCACACAACAAAGTGTTAATAGCAGGATATTCTCATTTTGCAAAATTAGAGTAAAGAGCAGACACTTCAAGTTTCAGACATTTATTAAGCCTCATCAAAAAACTTCCAAACACATGACCAAGTGCAGCGTGAGGCAAGTTTGATTATTTCCTGGATGATTAAGCATGACAATTGTGCGGACGGCTTCCGGAAGACCTTTCTGTGCAGCTTACAGAGATGAGTGTGTTCTTCAGAAGTCAGGACGGTCCTTTTTCAGCCTACTGTAGTCTACATTAACCGAGTAGAACTAGGAAAGAGAGGGGAAAAAAAATGAGTACGAAGCTCAACTATCCATTTTCCATTGTATTTACTAACATACATGCATCATTTGAACTCAGGTCAGGAAATCGAAATCATAGTTTGAGTCTGTACGCTAGACAATAATAAGTAAATAAACAAACCTTTGAGGAACAGTAAGTTTTTAATATTATCTTCATTCTGCATACAGTATTAGAAGCTCTACATTTAAAGAAGCAGTGCTCATGTCTACAACTAGACAGTATGCACAGTATCCCTTCTTTAATCCCCAGAATTAAAAGTCTATTCACAGGAAGTTCTTGCAGCACTGCTGAGTTTATCCTTTTGTCCAGGATCTATATGCTCCTGTATAACGAAGCAACACCTAGCTTGCCAAGTAGCACAAAGCATGGTCTATGTGAACAGATAGTGTCATAAGGGAACATTTAGAGCAGTGCTGCAAAAGCCAAGTCTGGTTTAAGTAGCTGTATCTAGAACTGCAAGGTATAACAAGGAGGAACAAAAGTAAGAACAGATACTTTCACACTCTCAGTTTATATTAATAAAGTTGGATCCCATTACAAGCAATTCAAAACAGTCCAAATAGTCACTGAAGACAATGAATTTACAGACTAAAAGCGTATTTTGGCATCCTAGCCTGACCTGACATCAAGTATGTGATGCTATAGTTTTTCTTTAAAAAAAAAAACAAACAAAAAACCTACCTATGAGTTTGATTATTTTCAGTTATGCCTTAGGTTTTTTTTTTCTAACTTCCTCAGAGAAAACTAAACAGCCTACAGCACATTCAAATGACAGTTTTATGTACAACTCCTACAGTAATGATGAAGTCTTCAACTCTTTTCTTCGGGAAAACTGAGGAAGCTGATACGACAAAAGAGAAGTTTACAAAAGAAAAACAATTTCATCAAAAGCTAAAACTGGTTATATCAGAGCTTTTCACTGAACATTCATCCTCAATTTAGAGTATCTGCCTTTCCATTTCCCACAGTGCAGATCTGGAAAAAAAAAAATCCCTAATGAAACACACACCCAAATATGGTAAACCCTGAGGGTGGTGTTTGCATGCTACAGCAGAAGTGGAATGCCACACAAGGCATGTACTCTTTAAAAGAATTTGTGCTGTGCACTATGTTGAATTTGCCTCTTTTAGATATTTAAGAAACAGCAACATTCCAGAAACAGCAATGAAAACAAAGTATTATGTTCTTCCTGGACCTTTAAGGGAACCGCAACATATTTTATTTCGGAGTTTTTTGCTTATGTCAGTGCTTGGAACAGTAAGATATGGTACTGAACAGATGCTAGATTTGAAAACATAGTAGGTTTCCTTTTTTAGTAGCTTGAGTATATCCTTAAGAGGAATGTACTAAAATACCACTTTGGTAAAACATGATAAAAACATGATTTCTGTAAACTACTAAATGTTTTACATGTTTGCATACTTCCCCATTAGTTCAATGAAATAACTTGAGTTTTACCTAAAGAACATTTCTATTGCATCCAGTTACTTTCAGACAACTGTTCTGTTTCTAAACATCAACTGTAGAACTGAATTAGTGTTTATGTTAAACACTGATATTTTCCTGCTTTGCTTCTCATGAGTAAAGGCCAACACTTTACAGCTTAGAAAGCTTTTCTTAAGAACTCAGGTTTTGTCCTTCTCCCTGTAGTTTATTTCTATTATAAACTAGTATATTCTTTCCCTTGCATATAATTCCTCTTTTTCTTACAGTGCAATATATATGACTGCTTCCATATAGACCCCTTTCACCCCATTACCAACTAACTCTAGGAAAGTTTTAAATCTCAAACTCAGCTGTCTCTGCTCTAAGTTCTAGAGACAAACAAATGTTGCATAGCGGAGGAAAGACACCACTCATTCAGCTACTTTCTAATATATTCAAACATTCTAAAGCAGTAGGCTACACCTTCGATATTCTGTTTCCTAAAAATCTGCATTTTTCATTTTACCTTGTACTGGTCACTGGGAGATAGTTTGTTCCAAGGTTCTGGATTATTTTTCTTGTCCCAGCTATTGACAGAAATGCAAGATATGAGAACATATTAAGAGAATCACGCTACCTCCAAAATAAATAACATTTGTATGTGTACTGTGGTTATTAGACAACGGACAGTCACCCATCCAAATAAGTTTCTACAGAAAAAGACACAGTCCTTTGTCAGCAGTCTCTAAATACCATATGGTAAACAAACAAATCTCCAAATCACGGAAATCTCCATACACTTAGTGCCAGTGATATTGGAGCAAGACATTAAGGCCTCCAGAAACATAAAGATCAAGGCAGTGAAGTTTACTTTAATATATGCTGCAAGAAGATGGGGCACTGTGAATTATCTTATACATACCAGACATCAGGGTTGAACACTGCCAAACGCATGAGATACAGGGCTGCACCAACGCCTCCAGATCCAATGATGAAAAACAGAGGGATCAACTACAACAACAACAAAAAAAATTAAATGTCATACCACAATATAACAAAATAGTATTATTACATAGCATTTCTGACTACAGCAATGACAAACCAAAGAACAAGCTTGCACGCTTTGAGCCACAACGGATGGCCCTCTAAAACCCTGACATAAGCTCCCTGCACGCAGGACATCCCTGGGGTCAGAGAGGAACTAGCAGCTATGAAGAGACAGACATGAAAAAAATACTGCTACACACAGAACAACCAAACATCTCATAACAGCAGCTCTCTGAGAAACAAACATCAGTACCTCCACTGCCGAAAATAGCCCCTACCATAT